AAGTAAATCACATAATATCTGAGGATTATTGGAGTGGTCGCAGGAAGGATAGGGTGTCCGCTGTGGCCAAACAGTGCGCTGAGGCGTCGCCTACGGGTGCTAAAGCCCTGGATGTTGTGGCTGATGTCACCAACGACAACGACTGTCGCCGATTAGTCTCCGACACTATTAAGACGTTCAAAAAGTTGGACATTTTAGTCAACAACGCGGGTCGGGGCGTAGGGTCGAGCATAAGGGACGGGGATATCCTCGATAAGTATGAGCTCATTATGAACACAAACCTCCGGTCAGTCGTACGGTTGACTCACTTATGTGTCGAGCATTTGGAGAAAACTAAGGGTAATATCGTTAACATGTCGAGCGTTATGGCTATTAAACCGGTAATTATATGACAGTAGTATATAAACAATTAATTTTATTTTTAACTGCGATTTCGGGAGGAAAAAATCGCGGTATATATAACTGGTTTAGTTTTGTTTCGTTTCATTAGTTTAGATCAATTATATATAATCTAAATTTACATTTGTTAATTTAATGATTAGACTCGAATCGGGTTAAGAATCTAATTGCTTGTTAATCCTTGTTTATTTTAATATGCTTGATCATTCAATATGTAGCTCATTAGAATTTATTTAAGGGATTTAAATCTACTCTACTATTAATCCTAATATATTTGGTTATGATAACATTGTGCTCATTTTTGTAGCTATTGTTATACATTTTTGCATATCATACATACTAATTGAATATCCTTTTTAAAAAAGTTTGTAAAAAATAACTTTAATATTAATACTAATTTGTGAATAGAAAGGACTATTCTGTTACTTAATGTCGATGGCGGCGCTGGATATGTCCACAAAGTGCGTAGCGCTTGAGTTAGCCCCCAAAGGCATCCGGGCTAACGTTGTCAAGTATGGGCTTATATTTAATGTATGAATACTATATTAATGTGCTTGTTGCTTTAAATATTTTTATGACGAAAGTCTCGGTCCCGTAAACACAGAGGCCATGAGAGTCCGTCTAAAAGTAAATCACATAATATCTGAGGATTATTGGAGTGGATGAGGAGTATGCCGTTTGGACGGGCGGGTGAGCCCATGGATGTGGCAAAAGCCGTGTTGTATTTGATCCAACTTCGATGGCGGCCTACAAACTGTCTAACCCCAAGACTATTACCATGTTTAATTAGTCTAGATATTTTTGATTATGATTAATTTTTCAGATATAAGGTTCTACTTACAAAATAATTCTCTAATAACTTTTTTTTGATATCGTATCCAATATTGAGAAAATGTAACATGAACATCTATTTAATGCAGTTCATATCCAATTAATTTATGAAAAACCTACAATCGTGGAAATAATTGGAAAAACAACAAAGGTCATATGCATGAGAGTACATGAAAATCTTGAAAAGTAATGTCTCGAAATACACATACATTTATGCATTTTTGTTAATACCGTATAATATAACAATTATTATAGATGTATTATTTTTTAACCAATAAATTGCCTATTCAAATTTATGTGCTATATGAAATATTGTGAAATATTTTTAATTTATACATTTTATTAAATTTGTAATTCAGTCAAATACAATATGACCCGCTTATAAACGACTCTGATATTAGAGAAACCCTTATATATTAGGTAATACAATATTGTTGTTTCTGGCTATAATTTAAATTTCTCCGGAATGGCTTAATATTTTCAAAAGCGGTTTGTTTTATTGAATAGCCTAATAATGTGATGATTTTGGGCACAAAAAATTTTAATCATGTTGTTGAATGACTTCTATTGTAGAATCAAATGTGGGATCAGTTTTGAGACAATTTGTATGAATAGACCATAAGTTTTATTCCGATAATACTTGTGAACACTCGGGTCGTGTGCTATGAATGGGAACACACATCGAGTCTATGATTTGATCCAATTTTATGAATTTGTTGTGTATTTCATATCCCGAATAAATACTCAAATCCGGGGAACTATAAGAATATCGTATATTTGAATGAATTATACCAATAAACTAAACATCAAAATAATTACTTAAAATCATTCAAATTAAACAATTTTTATGCAATGATAGCCAGGCTATAAATATAGGCTTTCGGTGTATATTTAGTTTGCAATTTGACTTCCGGTGCCATGTATTGACTAGTTCCCACTCCTGTGGTATGACTTCCAAAAGAAATGCAATGAAATGACGCCAAACCAAAGTCAACTAACTTTATAAACCTCCCGTTCCTAACCTCTCGTGCAATCAATATATTGTCGGGTTTGAGGTCTCTGTGAATGATCTGTGGATTCAATTCATGTAAATATTGAACGCATTCTAAGATCTCTTTCAATATATGACACGAAACGTAAAACTCGATTGAATTCATGGGTTCTCCCGGTTGTCGACCAAATACTTGTGGTTTGTGTTGAAGAATATTCTGCAGACTATGGGAACACAACTCCATACAAATGTAATACACATTTGTTCCGTACCATTGCCACATATATTGAACACAATATTCTGACCTAACCTTTTTCAATTTTTCCATCTCTTTCATACATTTCTGTATATCATCTGTAAGTGTACTAGATGTGATAAATGTTAATAATTCATGTGATAATTGTTTTACAAACATTTCGACAAATTTTGATAATTTACAAATACAGTATATTACATTTTAATGTTGTAATAGTTATACTAAATATAAATATATATAAATGTTATTAAATTACTTTTTAATTCTAGTTTCTTAACCGCATATTCGTGTCCATCTTTATTATATTTAGCAACAAATACTTCCCAAA